TATAAGCTCTAGAAGTATAGATAATTTCAGGGTTTTTTGAAGTTAAACAAGGGAAAAAAAGAGGTATGCTTGGCTGAGAGGGTCACATATATGACTGCCTATTCATTTAGTATAGCAGTGATTAGAAAACTGAAGGAAGGATACATAAAATGGTCCAGTCTTCCCTAACTACAGCATGAGCAATGGGCTTAACAGAGGCTAATCTTTTGTCTTAAACTTGTAACTTTATTTATACAGGAGTCATCAGGTACACCTTGTAAATTGCAGGGATTTGAGTGATCACTTCATGTGAGACTACAGCAATAAAATTTGGCATTTCTTTTTTTATTTCTGGCTTGCACGTCTTATTAGCTGGTCTCAGCTAAAAAAAAAAACAAACCCAAACTCATAACTGGTGTACTTATAATATGCTCATTCTGTGAGTACTGTATGTGTGAACTAACTCTTAACAATGATTTGTTATGCCAGAGCTAATTCAGGAGTGTGTAACAGTCTCTCCTTGGAAAAGAGCTGATTTTTTTGTTGAAACGAGGCAGATGCGTTAAGTGAAAGAACTCAACTTGGAGCTTGCTAAAATTAGACCAGTATCTGTTACTATCAAGTAACAGGATAAAGTAACCACACTGGATCTAGAGTTCAGCTTGGCTGATTCTAGGATGCACACAGTCAAAATTGAGCTGGTACTCTGATACTGTAGCTACATAGCTGATATGAGCCGTGGACCACTGGACAGCATGGCAGCCTCCACTCTTCCCTGTTGGCATCACCAGCTAGCGGGGTTATCGAGGAACAGATCTGGCTAAAAGTGGAGTTTTTACTTGACTCCCCATCTGTCTGCACAAGTTGCAATGCTGGCCCATAGCAGGCCATTTTCACTGCTGGACAGGCATCTATTTTTGAAAGAACTGGGCTGTGGTGTTTACCATCCAGTCTACTGAAAGCTGTTCCTAGTGACTGCTCTTACCTCCAGCGTGCAGAACTACTGTAAATAGTTGTTGGAGGCTTTATTTAAAGTCCTCTACAGTTAGGTGTAAGCACCATATAAAATCCTTTGTGATGTGTAATTACCACACATAACCAACATGGAATTTAGTCATATCAGTATTAGAAAAAACTTATAAAAACCTGACAGTATCTGTTTTCTTTTTAAATTTGAAACTATAGGCTTTAGATGCTCCTTCCTTTGTTAGGAAGTCTTAATGTTATGTGTTAATGAGACTGACTTATTTGCTCTTGCAGTGTATAAATAACCATTACAAAAAGGCTATCCTAAAGTTGGCTGTATTACCAGTGTCTCTTGATCTGTATCTTTTCACTTATTGATGGAGATTGCATTTTGAATATCAGACTGGCTGATTCGTGACTTAACATGGAGAAGAATAAAATGTTCTTGTCTTGAAGTGACATGTATGATGTATCTCCTAAGATTATTTGTGCGGAGCATTACACCAGGATAATACCTAATAACTTACAGAATAACTTACAAGAATAAGTCTTAATTAGAGTGGGATTCTCATGTTGAAAAGAGTATAGTGATAAATGGACAAAAAACCTGTCTGTTCAGATACTCTACATAACTTACTGTACTTATTTGTTCTTGGATAAGGAGTATTTTCTGTGACTTACTATTGAAATAGTGTGTAAGTAGCAAAGGATGGAGATGACTTTTGTCCTTTCATTAAACAGCGACGTGTTAGACTGGATTTCCACTGGCAGTCTCAGCTGAGGGACTTATTTCCCATTCAGAAGCAGAATATTTATAAAATACTTGCCCTTCCTTGACTTCAGTTAAAACTTTCATTCACTGATGGCACTGCTATATCCATTTTTTCCTTCCTTCCCTCCCACTAAATGGAATTGGGACTGGAGTCATTGCTAACAGACGCAGTTTGTGCCTTTTCTTCAGAGCTGACGTGGGTGTTACCTTAGAGGGTGTGGTGGGGGTCTGCCACCTGAGCTTGTCCCATGGTGCCTACCTAGATCAGACCATTATAGAAGGAGGGGAAATGTGCTGTTTCCTACAGTGTGCAAGAAAGCATGATGTGTGGATTTAATGCTGCATATCCGCTGGTTAAATCAGATGGGTTTTTGACTGCTTGTAGTACTGCTGCATGTGGCTATCTGACCATGCAAGTGTCTTGTTCATGTATTCCCTTCAAGACATCGCCTTAAGGAACTACAGCAGCAGATGGTGAACGTTCAAAGGGAGCACACCCGTGGCTCTGCATTTAGGAACTCTCAAAGGCTGTCTGTTTTTACAGGAGATAAAATAATAGAGTACGCCTCATTAACACAGTGATATGCCATCTGCCCTTTGCCACAAAATTGGAGATTCTGAGCTTTTTTATGAAAACTGATCTTCCTGATTACTAAGATGACTTTAATAAAAAAAATTACTGCATCCTTAAATCCATGGACGGCTTCAGACGATGACTGGAAAACAGCGAGACCGTTAGTGGTTTCACTGCAAAGCATTCTCTCACAAATACAAGCTAGCATGCTTATTGTGGTAAAATAAGCCTTCCCTTGTGTGCCTCTAATGGAGAAGTTCTCAGCAGAACCAGGGCAATTCACATGATGAACCTCTACAGCAAGTTTTCCTTAACACTGAGAAGCTGCAATTCGTTCCTTTCTCTCCTCTGTTTATCCACCACTAACTTCCCTACTAGTCACTTGTACTTTTTCTTTCCGTCCAGAAGTACAGTTTCATACCTTGAAAATGGATCAGTAGCCCTATCCCTTACCTCCCGTGTTGTTTGTTTAGTTGTTTGTTTTTTTTTTTTTTTTTCCGGGCCCCCTCACCCGGCAGCATTAGAATACCTGAGAGGTGGGGGCATAGAAAAAATGTGGTTTATAGTGGAAGGGCAGCTGAAGTTGGCACTGCCTTTGAGCAGACTGCTTGGACTATTGTTTCCTAACACTGTGTTGTTAGGAACAGCAGTAAGCAGACCTCCTGCTGTCCACCTGTGGAAAACCTGTTCTTCCAGTTGTGCTGATGCAGTACCTCAGTAACAGCACCTTATCGTGCATAGTGGGGTAGGGCAAGGGCTGTTGCTTTCCCCATTGCAGAACCCTGCTGGCCAGCCACAAATTCTAATGGAAAAAATGCATAAACTAAGTATCAGATCCTTGTATTGCATTTCAAAGTAATTCAATCCAGTAGCTATGCCAATTCTCTCTGCATGTGGTGGGTTTGCCAGTGCGTTTGCTAAAACATACGGTATGTCATGTGATTGATCCCCCCCCCCACCCTTAATTTACAGAACTAGGAAGTGACAGAGTCCAAAGGGTTTCTCAATTCACAAACCAGGAAATGTACTCACAGCCAGCTGTCTATCTGGTTTCTATTTTGTAAACCTCCCCAACTCTCAGTCTTTTTTAAGGACTAAAAGAAAACTTTGCACCTTTGATATATCCCACAGATGCTGCTTCAGCAACAATATAGCTCATATTAAAGGAATAAGTTATAAAAGAATTAAAACTAAATTCATTAATCTACAGATTTTAATCCTACAGCATGAGTGGAGAGGACAAATGCTTTTTAATACTCTTAAGCTTCACATTATCAGGCTTACAGTTGCTAGCATTTCCTTTTAAAACTTCTTACAGTGCTAATCTGGAACTTAGTGACTCCAGAGTCTCCTCTTCACTACTTTTACTGAAGGAAGCACATGTGCGTCTTTCTTTCAGTTTCCTATTTTTAGAACTTCATAAACTTGAACTGCATTCTCCTAGCAGTTGGAGAACAAAAACCCAGTTAGTCATTATGCAGAAAGCCCAAGACTTTACTAGAGGTTGCCCCCCCCGTTCTTAATACCGTAGTCTACATCAGAATTTGCAAGTCCTGTAGGAATGGATTTATAGAGCAAAACAATTGGTGATGCAGATATGTAGCCCTCACTGTACGGGGCGGGACGTACTGGATCTCCTCTGCTTCTGTAGACCAAATGCTTGTTAGGAGTTGGAGCAAATCTTATGGTTTACCTTTTCAAAGAGGAATCTAGCGCGTGTACATTATGAGTAATGATACTTGAGATTCACTTCAAAATCCTGAACTAGACTTAAAATTTTTATCTAGATGCTGTTTGCACTAGGAGATGTTGCTCTGTTACGATCCCAGTAAGAAAGGCATTCCGATTCTGTAAAACTTAATTTAAAATGCTATTTGTTAGAGCTAACAATACAAAGAAACAGAGAATAGTATAGACAATCTTATATACCTGTAGATGCTGGGAACCCCAAGTTGTGCAGCATTGAACGGGCCTCTGATCCACACAGAGCACACTGTGCAGACCTCATCTGTAGACAAGGTTACCCCATTTTGATAATTTAAGCTATTGTAGGTTTTTTCTTTCAAGACAAGAACTCTTCATCGTTCCTACTGTCAAAGAAGGAGGATGTTCACTGTTAGATACAGGCAAGGCCACGCAGGTGGTGTAATCACCGGTACCCAGAGCCTGTGGGATCCTCTGTTTCAGTGAGGTGGCTGAGTTTATCCTGTGACCAGGGAATTTGTGCAGCAGAGCACAGGCCTGAAAGCCAGGCTGTATGTGCAGCACAGGCCTGGGCTCACTCTGGTTAACTGTTACATAGATCACTCATGCTTCGATGTACAATAGTCTTCTGGTCAGGATTACCACAATGCATCCAGAACTGGAACTGGCCAAAGATTATCCCCTCTCTTCCCTGTCCCATGAACTGTCTCATGAACAAGGTCGGAACGCTCACGGTTTTTGTTTGGTGTTTTTGTTATCACAGAGCTAGGAATAGCTTGAGTATCTTGTATTGTTGAAGTCTGACATGTATGGAAAAGCTTTGCTGTTCAAAGATCTTGGGCACATTGTCTGAATGATAGTTCTTTATGTTAGTTCTCTTCTGTAGAGCATATAGAGTAATGAAGTTACGAGGACTCACATGTAACAACAAATCTGAGTCATAAAAACTTCACCATTATGAGACTGATGCTACTGATCTGCTCACTTGTTTTGTTTTCCTTACAGAATCAAGGCCATTGAAAGTCCCAACAAAGATGATGACACACAGTGGCTGACTTACTGGGTTGTGTATGGCATTTTCAGCATAGTGGAATTTTTCTCTGATATCTTTCTGTCCTGGTTCCCTTTCTACTACATGCTAAAGGTATGTTAGTTCATGTGACTCCTCTCCTAAAATGAGACCTTTGGTGTATATGATTTAATGTCTTCAGGAATGGATAGATGACAAGAGATTCCCTTGGAATCATTTCTGGGTCACACGTTATTTTTAGATGCTGGTTACATGTAATTTAGCACTGAAAGTGATCTGTTTACAGCTGATGCTTTTGTGAGGCAGGAGGGGAAGCTGGGATGGGTGGCAGGGAAAGGTCTGTCGTGTTTTAGGAAAAAAGAGGAGATGTAGCTGTACTGTGGAAAGACAGTTCTTTGTCTTGGTGTTCAGGTAAATTTGGGCAAAATGGCAGCACATGATAAACCCTACAGAGTGACTCTATTTTTGCCTTAAGTGCATTAGCGAAAGTGGAGAATAAAATCACAAAGGCAGCAGAAGGAAGTATTAACATCTGTGCTATTGGGAGCAAAGAAGGAAATTGCAACGTAAGAATAGTTTGAATCATACAGACTTCATTTTTAATTAAGCCTTTCCTGAAAGGAAATGGCAGGTGTCAGAGGAGCTTGTTGCTAACGTGCATTTGTTAGTTTGGTTTGACTACTAACAATGATTCGCTTAATGTGTTCCAAGCTTTGTTTGTCAACTAAGGTGTAAGTGTATTGTCAATCAACTTTAATATGTTAAATTATTCTAGGAGATAGCCAGTTACCATGTATGCTGTTGGGTAGAAGACATTCTAGCTTGCTGGAGAGTCAGTTGTTTACCTTAAAGAACTGGTACCTATTTTCTGTTTCAATGGGCTCTTCTATTCCTTCTCTTTTGCTTTGTTAGCCTTGTTTAGCCCCACCAAAGTTCTTGAAAGGATTTGCTTGCCAGCTATTGTGATGGGGTCATGCAAAATTTGAACGGTAAGGTCTGATGTTGCCAAATGTTTTTTCCAGGAAATGCCGTATTTTAAAGACAAAAATTCACTTGGACAGCTCAGTTACACTTCTGCATTGTTCCTTTTGAATCTTTAACAGGCATCAATTGTGCAATCATTTGGACACTTAATTTCCCTAGCTCCCTAAGAAAATGCACATACTTGAACTGCTGCTTCAAACTAAAAATATTCTGGCCTGTCTCACAAAGTTAATTCTCTCTCCCCCTCCCCTTTATTTTTTCCCTTAATCAAAAACGAAAATATGTTTACCATTTTAAGCTTAATGGTTTTGCAGAGTTTTTAAGAAGAATCTGCTAATTCTGAAGTTCAGCATGGGTAACACATATGTGAAAGTTTTACTCTTTTAATATATTAAGACCAAGCCAAATAGTGATCAAAGTGCAAGTTCATCTGATCTGAATAGGATCCAAAAGGATTGCTTATGGCACTGGAAGAATCTGTTCTTAACCACTTACACAGTTATTTCACATCCCCAACTTCCCCTTACCGTAAGTTAGCAGACTTGTGACTTTACCCATTCTCTGCAGTGATGTATACTCACAGTTCTGAATTCATACGGTGTATTTTCAGAGCTTCTTTTCTAACTTCTTGCTGGTAAAAGATGATTTCTTCATGCCAGCATAGCACTCTTTCTGAAGAGCATGCAATTGAAATTCAGGTTGACCTAGCAAATAAAGACCAGCCACACACAGATGGCTCTGATAATAGTGTATCAGAAGTGCTACATTTACATGTAGTGGTGGCATCAACAGT